AAAGTATCTAAAATTACATCAGAAATATTCCCACATTCTTTATTCTTTTTTCCAGGCTTCAAAGAGAGTAAAATCTTGCAAGCTGGCTATGGTGTTTTGGCATGGTGTTAGGGAATCCAGCTTGTTTTGTAAGGCTGAGAATGCCCTTCTTGTGTTTGATACCTAGGCCAAACTGGTCCTCTGCAGTTTTTGGCCTCCTCCCTTTGGTGTGTTTAACATGAGAAGGTTACCTAATTGAGAAGATTGATGGCATTCCTTCAAGTTCTGCAACCACATTAGATATGCAAAGGGATCCAAAAATTTTATTGTTTCTGTTATAAACAGATTATACTGGATTAGTGGTTAGCATTTTGTATGCTTGTTCTGTTTGCCCGTTCAGTCCTGAAAATCTTGAATTGTGTTGTTGCATGTTGCAAATAGCACAGGCACTCTTCGCTTGCTTTTGTTACTGGTGGCCAGAAACCTTCATTTGCTATATGCCTTAGCAGAGAGAAGGGGACTGCCAAATAAACTACTATTACCTTCTAGTAACAACTGTTTTCATGAGGTATAATTTTCTGATGTAAGTGTATTTTTTGCTCTAAAACTCTGGTATTATGTGCTATAACAAAATAAAACAGGTAGGGATGCTCGTGTGTGTGTACGTGTGTGTTTTTCAGCAGGATAGTACTTGGTAGATCCCAGGACTCATCCAGAATGGTACACAGACCCTGAAGTTCCCTTGTTTTGAACTAAACATTAAATAAACGTCAGTAGAATATTGTGCAAATCTGTAAACACTGTGTTTCCTTTAATTATTATGTCCAAGATGGGCAAGTACAGAATATTTCTATTTTAAGGTAATCCTAAGGAATGTTTACTTATCTGTCACAGAGGGTCAAATTTAGCTGGTTCATACAGCTGAGCTCTGAGGTGATCAGGGCAAAAAATTGAACAATTCTTTCATGGGCATTAACAAAAACTGTTCCATGAGCTTAGTGTCTCTTTCCTGGAGGGCAGGAGGCAGTGGTGCTTTGAGAGAAGACCAGTAACCTTGCCTTTTTCTGCTTCCAAAAACCTTCCCTCAAATTTATGGAGCTGGGCCTCCCTCTTACATGCTGCCACTTCACTGCTTCAATTTTTCAGTTTTCTTTCCATCAATGTGAGGGGCAGAATTTCCACTTAGTCACAACAATAAGACCTCTTTTTATAAAACAGCTATATTTTCTTGACTGTGCTAAACAACCATAACAATACCTTGTTGCAGCCTCCCACCTTGCACGTCATGTCCCATCCCGTTCCTCCCCTCTCCCCCTGTTTGCAAAGAAGAGAACTTTAAAAATCTTCGCAGAAATGGCTAAAAGCATGAGCAGGAGATCCAGACCAAATGTTTGAAGTGAGGTATTTGAATTGTAGTCATCTTTGTATGCAAACTTGATCTGGTTGTCTGAAGACTGGCTAAGCATTAAAAAAAAAAAAAAGCTCAACAATTAGTCCTGTGTGTGGCTGTGCAAAGGCATAAATTAAACCCCATTTGCATACTTTTATACAACTGTTTTTAAGTTTCAGCAAGTTCCCCTGCTCCCCGTTGTTAATGGCTCCACATGGTTAAAGTCCGTGGTTAGAAAAATATGTAGTACTCGCCACGCTTTTTGCTTCTCTTTGCCGTGGGAGGAGTTTGACTGAACAGCTTAAATTGTGTAAGTAATTTCCAGACCATCACTATTTTTTTTTTTTTTTTTTTTTTTTTTTTTTTTTAGAGGCTTTAAAAGAGCATATTGTTTGTCAAAAGTTCTGGAAGGGTGGTGGTTTTGTGTCTGGGTACTGTCACTACCGACTGATGTAGGCCTAATGGATTTTCTGAGAAGACTTGAATGGGAGAAAATTCGTATTATGAGAAGAGATGTCTGAAAACAAATGTTAGATGAGTTCTTGGTCTGTATTGTATTCTTGATTTCCATAGTTGCGTGAAACTGTGCTAAAAATCTTTGAAAAAAGACTGCCTGCAATTGGTTCGACAATAAAACTGGTTAGGGAGGTTGTATGTTCTCGCCTATCTGTGTGGTCTTCTGGTTTTCCCGGAGGCTCTCTAGATTAGGTGCTTGCCACTATTCTGAAATAGCCTGCCAGGCTTTGCTGCTCCTGGCAGAGACATTTTTAAAGAGGCCGTGTTTCCAAAGTTAGAACTATTGCTAAATAAGTCCCCGACAGGTCCTTCTTTGAAAATGGATGGCACTTGCGATTGCTATTATTATTACTGTTGTTATTTCTGAGCAGCACCGTTTGTAAAGTTAGACCAATAGCATAATGAAAAATTAAAACATTCTGAAATAAAAATTTCTAGGGCAAGTAGAACAAGTCATGAAACATGAGATCACTAAAGACCTAGGAACAACTGAGTACCTGTTCACTATGACATTCATGTTGAATATGTCTATGGAAGCACTTTGTTCGTACAAGTATTAAAATGCATGTAAAACCAGCATTTACTTATGGGGTTGGTACTGTTAATGTCCCAAAGTCCACATTTGGAAGTCTTAAAAATGTAAGATGATTTTAGTTTTGGTGTGCAATACGGCTATAGTTATTCTTGTCAGTGTTTTTCCAGATACTCAGAACTTAAATTTCAGCTCCTAATTCTGAAATAACCTAAGTTAATTTTTTGTCTATGCATTCAATAAAGATGTAAATAATCAATATTTTAGGTAGCTTGAACAGATGGCTCTGCTTGGAAGCTTTTGGGCCTTTTTTTGGTTTGTTGGTTTGTGGTTTTTTTTTTTTTTTTACTGCAGAAGCCCATCCCCATGAAAATAAGGTTGTTTACAGGTACAGTCATGTAATGTGACTGCATTGTTACAGGATTTAATTGCATGATAAATTTTCCAGGGTAACCTGGTGGCTTACTTATACAGCACGCTTTATCTGAGACCTGTTTACAGTTTTCATGGTTAAAGAACTGTAACTCAGGACAGGTGGGAATGTAAAACTGCTTTGATAGAATCTTTTGTGCTTGGACAACTGTAATCCTTGGTGGGTTTGTGTAGTGCCAGGTTTTATCTCAAAAGCTGGTTTTGAAAGCTGGATTGGTCATAGAGCTGCAAGTTCCATAAAACTGGATTGCTGAAGTTGTTAGTTTCTAGTTTGTAATATAAGTATTTTGTTTTGTTTTTTAGTAAATGCGGTGCTCTTAAACAATATTACAAGTGACTGGAAAGAATAACTGTTAAATAAAATGTAAATATTTTAAGTGAGAATACACATAGAGAACACAAACTTTTTTTTTTGTTAATAAATTCTCAAGTTCTTGAACCTACTGGAGAAGAAACTCCTTGTTTTTTCTCACCTCCTCAAGTAATGCAGTTTTGGAAGTTCATTTTTTGGTCTTCCCCCCGCCCCCCCCTATTTCTTTTCACATACACACTCGTCTCCCTACACCCACTACATGTCTTAGAAAATTGTCTTGTAGTATAGGTTGATGGTTGATAATAACCGGTCAGCACAATCTGAAATCAATTGACGTACCAGTTAATAATACTGAAACAGGTCTATGGGCTGCCTTCCTAGGTGCAAAGAAGGGTATGATTATAAGGTTAGGTATAAGATTTTGATTTTTTTGGAAGGCATTTCTCAACAAGAGTGACCTTTTACAAGTTAGGCAATTGGTTTGAATGCCAACCGTCCTTTATAGTGGCACATATTTCTGTCAGAGAATAGGATTAAAAATATCTGGTGTACTGTTCTAATGGAACCTACATGGTATTGTTTAAGGAGTGAAAAAACAATGAGCAACCACCCCACAAGCTGAAATGTGTGTTCATCTTCAAATGTATAATACTGTGCTGCAGTACAAATAGCAATGTGGCTAAAAGTGCTAGTTTTAACTTTCATTGCAAACTAAAAGAAATACTCAGTTCAATTATGTATAATTGTTTAGAGTGCAATGCACTTAAAAGGAACTTTAATGACTACAGTATTGAATAGAGAAATTCATAATACATTATTGAAAAGACAGTATGTTTTTATTTTCCTTTTATATTTTTAAGAGTGAATTGGAAAAGGAATACATTAACTACAAAAAAGGATGCCTGACATCTACTGTTTTCATGTGATATAACGATGCAGCACTATAAGCAGATTTCTTTTAATTTGTTTTTAGAAGGGTCAGCAACAGTATTTTTTTCCCGTCACTCCCTTGTCCTACTGAATCACTTCATCTCTCTGTGCACATTTAAGGGAATAATCCCCTCACCTGAATAATTGCAGACAGCTGTTCTCAGTCACTGAACCTTGGTAGATGAGTATTTTGAATTTTTTTTTTTTGTTGTCATCATTTTTGTATATTCTGTACTCTTCGTGTTATGAGTTCCTACATTTTAAACCCTAATTGATTTTTAGCTACCTTGTTTTAATAAAAAATATATGGAAAGTTAAGTAGTTTTTTGTGTTGAGGAATTATTAAATCCATTACAATTGAACATTACATTCTTGGTCAGTGATGATTTTTTTTTTTTCTTTTATGCCACACACTGTGGATATAATAAGCTGAACACAACTTTTGAGTTTATCCCGCCCCTCCCCACCCTATCTAAATTAAAAGTGATCTCTGAAATACAAGAGAGTGTTTTCCAGCCTTTCTTCTGCACTTGAGAACAGTTTTGCTTGTTTCGTTTCTATTGGTTACATTTGAATCTTATCTATTACATACTTTTTTTTTTTTTTTCATACAACTCCCTTACCCTTTCTCAGGACCACTTCTCTTCACAAGAAATGCTTCCGGTATCTATCCAAAGAGTGGCAGTATCACAATACCGTTATTTTTATTAAATCATTATCACTAAAAATTAAGAAATCCCAAGAAAAAAATTGAGTGAAAACAGATTAAAAAATGTAATACTGATATATTGATGAGGAAAAAAAACCAACAAACCAGGAATTGAGTTCCTGTAGGTTTTAATTTAGCAAATTATCTATACTTTTTTTCATTTTTACAGTAAGCTGACGTTTCTTCTTCAACTTTTCAGGCACGGGTACCTTTGGGCGTGTTCATCTGGTGAAAGAAAAAATGGCCAAACGTTACTTTGCACTGAAAGTAATGAGCATTCCTGATGTCATTCGACTGAAGCAAGAGCAACATGTGCACAATGAAAAGTCAGTCTTGAAAGAGGTCAACCACCCCTTTTTGATCAGATTGTAAGTTGTTCTATTTTTTTAATTCATTTAACCCATATAAAGTGCAGTTAAAGAGTTCCAGAGTCTCATTGCAAGTTCTTATGGACTTAATCAACACCAAGTATTTAATTTCTATTATTTAATTTCTATTATGTAATCCAGACTAAAATAGACTTCAGACTAAAATATTTATTACAGAAGAATCAAGAATTTAAAATTAAGAGGCATAATGTAAACATTTAAGCAATAATTTATTATAAGCTTTACTCTGTCTCTTATTTTCATACTGCAGAAGAGAAATTTTCTTAAGTGAGGGGAAAATACTGATGAAGAAATGTTAGGATTGGCTCATCAAAATGACTTCTAGGATGTTTCTTGATGTTAGAATGGAGAGAAAATAAGTATTTCTACATTTATATTTCCTGTAGATACCTAGATTTAAGTATCTGCTTTTTGAAAACTTTTGTGAACTTTACTTTTGCAAATTTTATTTTTAAAGACTTTAAATGACTGCAGCACTTCTTGGGCTTTATTATTCCCATATTTGATGTTAAGTGGTGGAACCTATTGAGAAACATGATTTAAACACAGTTCATGAAGAATACTTTTTTTAGTGGAATTGTGATGATTCTAATGATCCCTTTATTAAGGAGAGAAGGCGTCATACTTTTCATGGCATCACAGTGCCTTTTGTGTATCTGAGTCCATATTTATTAGTGGGATAACTAAACCTCTGGGTAATTGCCCAGTTAATTTCCATTTCTATTTTCTCATGCATGGATACAGGGCCATTGACCAAGATTTGTTTTGCGTTTACCTGCCTTAATCAGTTTTACATTAAATTAGCCAAAATTAGCCTTAGTTAGTCTCTAGCTGCAGGGAGTGCAGCCTCCTCACAGGGCTAAGAAAGTATCAGAGGGAAAGAAAACGCAAAAGCATGGTAGTCATCCGAAAGATGGAAAGAGCCCTGCAGGAGGAGGCTTTTTCCCTGGTGTGCTGTTGCTTTTTGCAGCATCGTGATGTTATTAGTTTCCAGCCAGTGTTCAGATATCCTGTGTGTGGCATAGTATCAGTAAGATGAGTTCTAGGGTACCTGGAGTTTGAGATGCATGCGGGAAAGCAAGATGGAGAGGCTGAGCACATCTAGTTAGACTGGTTAAAATATGGACGGAACAGGGGGAACAGGGTTTTATATGTATATGTACGTACGTATGTACATAAATTCTTTAAAAAACCCCACCAAACTACCAAAACCAACCAACCAAACAAAAGAAAACCCAGGACATCTGTGCTTCTAGAACAGTGCAGCAAGTGTGGGAGTAGAGAAACTTGGGTGAGAAGTCAGAGACAGGGATGTGAGGGTTCGTGTCCATAGAGAAGTGATCAAAAATCCAAACTGCTAAGTTTTCTTGGATTTCGTTCATGCCTTATTTCCAAAATGTCAGATTTTAAAGTTGCCAAAGGAAGGACACAATTCAAATGGAAGTTCACTTGTGTGCAAGGCAAACATTCTTCCTGTCTTCTAGCACTCTGCCTTTTCTGTTGACATGTTCAGTGAGAGGCTGCATCAGCTATGCTCATCTAATTGTCCATGTGCTGCCTTTGTCCCTTGGCAAAGGAGACCTAGCTGAAATGAGGTAAATTTTAAGTCATGTTAATGTTTGTGTGCTTTAGGTTAAACACGCATTTGTGTATGGTTATCACTGACTGTATGACAAATAAAACTTTCTGCAGTTTTTTGTGTGGCCAACAGCTTTTTTCAGCCTCCTCCTCCCCTGCCGAATACATGGGTTTTTTTCCATGAATTCTTTGACTGTAATTGATCAGCAAAAAGGGGAAAAAAATTTCCATACAGTTCTTCAATTCTTCAATGCCTTTGAACTGTGTTATCTACATGGTCTGGTTTTTATATTTTCAATTAATGTCACCACCTTATACATGGATAGTATCTTCTTCAGGTTGCAAAACAAGGAATATGTGCCAGTGCAGCATAATACGGTATTTTTTTAGCACTTTATGATGGAGAATTTTAAAGTAATGTTGCACGAAATTTATTACTGGTGTTCATCCTTCCTATATATTCCTATATATAAAGAGTTTTATAGAAGAGTTTTTTTTTTTCTTTTTCCTGTTGCTTTTGAGAAATGTTCTTCCTGTGTGTAGGGAGGTCCTGAATCAGTTTTTCTGTAGATACTGAAGTTATTTATCTACTTATTTTTTAAACTGTTTTTTGGAAATGCTTGTTTGGTGCTCTTGCAACGACTGGTCACTGGAAACTCCTAGGCAATCTTTAATGACATGTTTGAGTGATGTATCGTAACTCTGTGGGTGCAGCAATTCATATTGTGCTGTAATTTTGACATGTATCTTTGATTTTTTTCAAGAGAACAGGAATTAATAAAAATCAACCATGCCTTATAGTTTTATAAGCTTAAAATAGGTTATTTTTCTGTAAGAGAGTTCACAATGGCATCCAAAATTTATGTAGTGAAGCTGAATCTTAAAATTACCTGACACCATGCATATTATTCTAATCACAGCTTTTGTTTATTTTCCTTTTGTGTATTAAAATACCATTTAAAGCAATCTGTACTGCAAATATTAAAGTTCTTTACCTTGCAATTTTTCATGTATACCAAATAAAGTATCCATTTTTCTGTGGATAGACAATTGTTTAAGAGTCAGTTTTTGAAGAAATTAATTCCAGTAACAATACTGTGTTTTAATGGTCTAGGTCTTCCGTTTTTTTCTCTGTATTTGTTGTCAGATTTTGTTGTTCCTCACTCCTGTACATGGTTTTTTAAATATGTAGTTTGCTTCGTTTTGCCCATTCCTGTTCCTCTTTCTTTGTTTATTGTAGGTGCAACTTTGCCTGACTCCTTAAAATACCTCTCAGGAGTTGTTTTTACATAGTCAGTAAAGATACTATGAACATCAATAGCCAATTAATGATGTTGATGACTTTGTGATAGGGAAGTAGTGCCATAAAAGCAAAAGGCAAACCTGGGCTCTGCTTTCTTCATCACTTCGAGGGAATGGAGGAGCTGTTGCTGATGTCTGATAGTCTGTCTCATTTTCTTGGTTGCCCTCAGTGCCGGTATCAAGAAAGAAAATCTTACTGAGCAAAAGTCACTCATGGGTTTGGGAGCTCAGTTTGCTCTGCTTATCTTTCTTGAGACTCTATGCCTTGTTTAGGAACCAGCTAATGAAGGGCGGGGGGGGAGAGAAAGGCAAAAAATATTTGATCTTTCATTCTTGTGATACTGAAGCAGAAGCAGTTACTAGAAGTTAAAGTAACTTCTATTCTGGTATCATTAAAGTAGATAGGGATAGAGTATTCTTTAACTGTTATCATAGTAATAGGGATAGCTGTTTGTTTTAAAATATAGAATATTCTTCAAGACATTACCAGATACTTATTTTCTTCTTACCTGTTGAGTTGCATTTGGTTGTTTAATATGGGTAGAAAGAAAAACAGCTTAGTTTTGGGGAATGTGGAAGAGGAGACTCCTATATTCTGTAATGAAGCATTTGAAAGCCGCGTGGAATGATTTTCTTTCTTCCTTAGCTGCTCTTTACTGCACTCTAATAATGAATGTACCACAATAATAGTTCTTAAATTAAAGGCAACAGTCTGAGGAATGGAAGGTACTTATCATTAGGTTAATTCTGAGGTACAGAAATGAATCTTGTTTTGCTGTAATTTTTGCTTTTCTATTGCTTTTGTTAAAGATGCTGTAGAAGAGCAAGCATTGTGATCTGATGCTTATCTAGAAACTAGTCACATTAGTTGGGGTTGTATATTTCCGGGCAGGAGGGGATAGGAAGGGGGAAGGAGAACTTTGGTGTCCTGTTGTTGAACATATTGTCATAAACATCTTTACAAAAGCAGGTTCTGCTCACCTCCCATCACTTTGGCAATATTTGATTAAATAAAATGTAAGGTCTGTAACAGTTGTCTGGTTGTAGCAGACTGGCAGTATACCAAGTCAGTTATTAGGAGCTTAGCAGAGACCGGTTTTGTACAATGCAACGGAGTCTATCAGTTAGATTTTCTTTCTTAGCTTGTGCTATGCGCATCCTGAACTATCTGTTTTACTCTTCAGGTTAAGTCAGCTGCTTGAATGTCTGTTACATAATCCTGCTAGATTCTTGGGGTTTTAATGTTTGCAGAATAGGAACCATAAATTAATTATGTACATAGTTGGAGCAACAGAGATAATTTTACAGAAATTTACTGCTAAAGCAAATCAGAGATATAATTTGTTTATTCAATAAAATAATACTTTTGTTACAGATTTTGGACCAACCATGATGAACGTTTTTTATACATGTTAATGGAATATGTGCCAGGAGGAGAACTTTTTAGTTACCTGCGCAACATGGGGCGTTTCAACAACAGCACAGGACTGTTTTACTCAACAGAAATTATTTGTGCAATAGAATACCTGCACTCCAAAGAAATAGTTTACAGAGACTTAAAACCTGAAAATATATTACTAGACAAAGAAGGACATATCAAGCTTACTGATTTCGGATTTGCTAAAAAGCTGGTGGATAGGTAAGTGGGTTTTTGTTATGGTTTAACATGCAAAATGTAATTACAGTTGGAAGAAAAAAAGCTTGATTTCAGAGCTCAAGTTTTCACCTAATATTCCGTGTGGTTCACACATGTCAAATCCCTTAATATGAAGGAAATTATCATCTTAAAATGGCTGTGTGGAAACCAGCATTACACCTTAAGTGTAACTAGGAGCAATATCACAGATAAGCTACCATAGAAAAATATTTTATATGAGTAGGTTTGTATATTTAAGTTGTCAGCATTCATCTTGTAAAAAGGGAGCTCAATGAAGTAAAATGAGCAAATATTGAGATGTGTACATCAATACGTTAAATGGGACATTAGTCTTCCATACAAGTTGAGTTGCTAAATGTTTTGTAACTGCTGTTTCCTTCTGCTTTCCTTTTAGAGAGATTTTTGAAATGTGGGAATAATATTTTAAAACTGGATACTGTGTTTTCACTAGCCTGTTGCTAAAATGAAACTGCAAAATCTAGACAGAAACAGTAAGGCCAGCTTCAGCAGAAGTATTTATTTAGCTGTAACTTCTACAATACTGTCAGCCTTATGTCTGTTTTACTAGTGTATGTAAACTTCTTGATAATGCAGAGGTTTTTTTCCCAGTGATTTCTCTGTTCTCTCCGTTTGAACTACCCTTCCACGATTACAGTACATGTCCTTAAAAGAAAGGAAGAGTCATCACTGGGATTAAAAATAAGGGAGGAAAAGACTAGCCTGTCATATTAGAAAAGCAGTGTTTCAAGGTTTGGTATTATGCCCTAGGGCCACCTCTTGAGGGAGACCATATCTGATTGTTCTAGTTGAGGCAGCCTGGTAAGCAAGTTAGGCGTTACATAGGTGCTCATTCTCTTCACTCATCTGTTTTACCTGTTTGATGCTGCTTTTGCAATAGTTCGGGGGGGTGTGGGGGCAGAATTCTACAAGATCAATTTGAAATGAAGGTGGATCTGAAGGATCTACTCTTAATGGATCCCTTATGAGTAAAAGTCAGATGGGACAGATCAGGTCGTGTTATGGAGGTCATAAAGGTTGCTTCCCTACAGGTTACATGCTCCCAGTACTGCGTTGCCTTGGCACAGAAGAATGGTAGGCAACTAATAAGTACGCTGGTTCCATTCACCCTTAAGGTCTAAAAGTCTGTTTTAAAACCATAGTTTTTTAATGTCAATATGTTTGATTGAATTCCCTTTCCACTGGGCAAGCAGATAGCTCGTCAATTGTTGGCTTTTTTTTTTAATATTTTGTTTTTAAATCAAATTAACTTTTTGCAGGAAGAGGTAAGGCTACTTCCATGTAAAAAAAGGAGCACGATCTCTTTATAAGACATTTTCATACAAATTTTTACGACTTCCTTTTTACATGTAGATACTGCCACTTAGTGGTTATTCTTAATTTGGATTTCTGTGGGTTTCAGGCACAACAGGAGTAAACCTTCATTAAATAAAGTGATAGTTCACATCAAAGTATATTTTTCAGTCTGGAAGATAAACCTATAAGAGTAAATTTGTTCAAATACATTGTAGGGCATCAAAAGAAGTTATCACTACTTTTTTTAGTTGGTTTTTTTGCGTCCTGTCTTGCTGGGGGTGGGGAGAGGTATGGCGGGGGGGTTGAAGTTGATCAATTTGTGTTGAACTGAATCATAGAGTGCTATAATAGTTTTACACTAGTACCTGCTTTACCGGTGTGCAACAGGTAATATAAAATGCAGAACACAAAGTTGGAAGGAGCGAGGACTTTATCAGTTAGAGCACGATAGTTAGCTATGGAAGTCTGATTCCGCCCCTGCCCGCCGCCCCCCCCCAACTATATAGTCTTCACTGTACTAGCTGTAGTTATTTTCAGAATGCTCTTTTTGTCACTGTAAAAATACACAGTTGTCAGCAATTTATCCACTAAGGCACTCCAGTAGGTTATTTTGTTTCACAGACTATTTGACCTAAAGTGTAGGAGATGTTTTGTCATTTTTATGCATGGCAAACATTTATACACATGAACCTTACATGTATGTATGTGTGTATGTGTATTTATGTATACATATATATAGTACATATGAATTGTGAAAGTAAACCACAAAGTATATATGTTTTTCAATCAGCTGTGAAGAAGCATGCCACTTAGGACCAACAAATGTTTTCCTGGAGAAACATGACTTGTAAAATAAAACATGGTCTGCAGAAGACCTTCAATACAAGTACACATTTCTTGATACATATTATTTTCCTATGAATAATTCTGGAGTTGCTTAATTGAGATTTTTCTTTAAGCATTTTCCTTTCTTCCCGCTATCATGTGTGAAAGGGTGAAATGTTCACCATGTCCATCTGCAATTAATCTGCTCTTCAGAGAGAGTGTCTGGCTTGTAGCTCACGTTCCCGCTGTGGGAAGCAGCCTGCACGTTTACCTTCTTATTAGTAAATTTTCTGAAGGGCTAGACTCTAATATTTTTTTCTAGAGAAGAAGGAAAGGGAAGAGGTTTTCTTATCTCCTTCTGCTCCTTATTGATACGTCCTTCTGTTTATCCTTGTTCTTCCCTTTTCGGTCATAGTGTACTTTTAAAAATTCTAAATTTTTCTCCAGAACAGTGTGTCTTTGCCTCAGCTGCTGTTTATTTCTTTTCTTTTCCACCTTGGTGTTCCTTAACTGAAGACTTAATAACCTTTTCAGTTTCTTGTAAGTACATTCACATAGAATAGATGTGCCACTACTTTAAAAAAGGGGCGGTGTCAAGAAAAAAGGAGGGGCAGGGAGACTGGAATAAATGATTGTTACCTGAAGGATGTAGAAAGGATTTACTTTGAATTTTATAGCCATTACATTTTTAGACCTTTTTTTTCAGTTCTTTCAGAGAAACTGAAACAAAAGCTCATAGAATTTTATATTTTTTTATGCACAGATTTCGTTCAATTTTATGAAAGTTTTAAGTAAACTTATGTTTGTTTTTTTTTTTTAGAGGAATGTTATTCACTGTTAATTTTAGTTTGCTTAGTTTAAATTCCTAAAAAAAACCAAACCAAAACAAAAAACAAAACAAAACCTTAAAGATTTTGGGGATACTTCTGCACTGTTGCTTAAACTGGATTTACCTCATGACTATTCTTCAGAGTGGACTTGAAAAGAAGGAAAAAACCAAAACAAGACGTAGCAAAGCTCGTTTGTAAAGTGTATTGTGTGTCACTGTAGAAGCAAGAATGTCTTGCAGAACAAACTTTTGTGGGCTGGAAACAAAATATAATTATGGAGAAACTTCCAGAAGAGGACACCAAAAAGGATGTTGTTAACCTCTAGCTCATATGCGAGAAGCTTGTCAGGGACTACAGAGGTGGATGCTCAATAGTGTAGAACACTAAAATATGTTAACCATCGAGACTTAACTTCTTCAAATAATACTGTTAACAAGTCCCACAAATACTGTTTTATAGCTTATCTTTGTGACCAGAGTAGATTCTTTGTTTCATTTTCATGTTTTGAAATTACGTGTTCAGCCTTATCAGCTATTGCTCACCTGTATTTCAGCCTTTATCTTGAAAATCCAGAACAGTGGAGTTTTTGTAGCAGTTTGAAGGAAACAGTCTATTCTTATTTTTCTGCTTTATAATTTATCTTCAAAAGGATAATCTGGAGTTTCAGATGAATATACAACAGTCATGAAATAGTGATCATAAAAAAAAAACTTCAGACAATTTGATCTTTTTATAGAATTTACTTGATGCATTTTCCAAAATATTAAATAGTTTGTTTCATGACCAACAAAAGAGGAAATACAAGGCACAAGTACACAGCTTGACAAAGAATTTGAGCTTCCTCCAAGTTTTTGTGTAGTTCGTAAACATAAATTTATTGATTGAAATTAAGAGAAGTAGATAACCTGCTGTTGGTAATAAATTTTATTTCCTAGTGCAACTACAGGACTTCAAGTTATGTTGGCCTTTCCTTAATTTGTGGTTTTCCTTTTGCTCGAGTAAAAAAGATATTGTTACTAACCTGTGAGGTAATTGAGGGTCACCTTCGTTACATTGTCACCAGCAAATTATGTGGGTCCTGGAAGTCATGGTCAAGTGTTAAACTGATTTTTTTCTATCCTAAATGACCTTGATAAGGGATGAAAACCACCAAAGACTGCATCTTTGCTGAATTTGTGCATTCATAGTGCTGGCAATTTTGGGGTAGGAAAGGATGACGGTTGTGGGGCATTGTCCTGCAAACTGTCTGGCTTGTCCGTTAAAACGAATGTGCCAGCCCTTCTTCCCCAATAGAGTACAACTGGTTCATTTGCAGAACTGGATAAATCAGTATGAATAAAAATTCATACAATTGTATGATTTTATTTAAGGATTGTAATACACCTTTTTAAATTTGGGGGAGGGGGGACTCTTCTATTTTAAAAGGCAACAAAGCTTTGTTGTTTTTCTTAATTACTTAGTCCTGATCTAGGCAACTGCTAGATGGCAGTAGTGTGTAAAGCACTGCTAGACGTAAGAATTTTCTTGAGTATGCTTGATTTGGAAAATGAGAGTTTGTATTTTGTAGCAATAAATATTATGCCACCCTCCTATGATAAAAATTAAAGATGTATTCTTTACGCTAATGAACGTAGTTTCAAGAACCATGGAGCACTTGGGTGCGTAGTGCTTTTAATGCATTCTGACAGTTTAGCTGGAGTAATTCAGCTTTTGTCATGTCAAAATGAGGCCTAAAGAAATTCAATTCTGTGTATCATAAATCTTCATTTAAAGTCTTGACTGACTGTACAATTCCTCTTCCTTGATCTTAAGTATTTTTATGAATCAAGGCTAAGGCTTCAAAAAACCAACCAAACAAAAGGAAAAAAAAAGAAAAATACACCCAAAAGCTCTGTTTAAAATAATTCTGCAATCTCAGAAAAGTGTGTTATTTAATCTTTTAAAAAAAAAAAAAAAATTACATACCATAGGTGCATCTTGAATATCCATTTATGGTTAGGAAAAAGAAGGTTTAAGTTTAGCAGAACAGTGGTAGGAAAAAACAGAAGTTGAAAGAGGTATGTATTACTTCTAAAAGTGATTGCTATTCATCCTAATGCTTTTGTTCAGGACCATGTTACCAGTTTGATTCATGCCTTGGAGAAGGTTCTTCCTGCACTCGCGAATAAATCAATTAGAGTTTCTTTTGCTGTGAGTTAGAAATTGTGTGCAGTGACCATTAATTTTGTGACTATATTCTTTGTCATTTCTTACTAGAACTCTTCTTAAAATGCAATATGCTTTTTTTTTTTTCCCCCCTCATTCTCTGCTGTTATTTCATCCTCTCTTGAATTGACGAGCACTTTTTCAAAGTTTCCTCTTCTGACTTGCTATCAGGGAAGTGTAATTTATTCAGAATGAAAGCACATTTTTTTCTCTAGTGTGTATGTAAACATAAGTCAAGGTAGTGAAGCCAAGCAAATTCTGCATGGGTATTTTTACAAAGAAGATTTCACATTTCTGAAGGAAATTGTTTCAGAATATTCTGTGTTTCAAATTGTAATTTGGTCTTTGTAAACACTAACTGCTTAGCTTCAATTTATTTTATGAATTTATAGAACTTGAAATACACATTTCAATTAGGTAGCAATATAATACTTTTATATCCTGAGTTTATATTAAAAAAGATATGACTAAAAATGACATCAAAATATATCAGAAATAGCATTACTTACATCTCTCACACTTGCTTAACTACACCTTTTAATTTTAAATAATTAAAAGCACAAAGTGTTTTCCCTTTAACGGATATTGTGGGAGTGATGACAGGTTACGTTTCAATACTATTTGAAAAACGTTACTTAGATTGTAAAAGGAATCTTACTTATATCTGCAGCTATTTACTGTTTTAAACTAGTACTTTTTTATCTCCCCCTCTTACCTTTGTTTTTTCTAAACAAAATTTTTCCTTTTGCTGGAAAATGCCAATAAGCTTGGCATTTGCAGGGCCTGTTAGAAGTATTCCATGAATTCCCAGGGTCTGCAGTTTACAAGATGAAAACGACTGTTAGTAATTTCAAAGTAATGTATAGCCTAATGGATAGAGTACCACACCAGCAGTTGGGAAGCTCAGTGCACGGATGTTTCCTGCAGCCAAGAAGTTACTTAATTTCCATGTATCTCTGTTACAGGAGAATTGGAGAGCATCATCAAAGCAGTCTTGTTAGATCTTGTAGAGATCTTTCTTTTTTCTCTTGTTCCTGTATACAGTAAATACATAGGCATATGTTGGCTACTTCCTATCTGTGTGTTTGGTTTTTTCTATTACTGTTATTTCAGTTTCAATTCAGTCTGGTTTTGTTGTTTGTTTTGTGGTTTGGGTTTTTTTTTTCTTCTTCTTTTCCTCCCAGGACATGGACTCTGTGTGGCACTCCTGAGTACCTTGCACCAGAAGTTATACAAAGCAAAGGCCATGGAAGAGCTGTGGATTGGTGGGCCCTGGGAATTCTTATATTTGAGATGTTGTCAGGGTAAGTGATAATGATTACTATATCACAGCAAT